AAAGCAGACATACTGGATCACTGAGATTTCTTGACCACCCGGCAGAAACACTCAGATGTCAATTAATTCTTTGAGAAAGTATTGACCCTTTGGATGACCCAGCGTTTAGCCAGGTCAGGTGAGACATAAATCATCAGGCAACTGAATACTTTATGGCAGGTGACTTTATAGTCGTTCGCGAAAACCTGTTTTGTAGAATTTGGAAAGGATTACTTCGGAGTAAATTTGGCGTAAGGGTCAATATTTTAGTTTTCTCTCTCTGTTCCCGGAATAATGCTTTCCTTTGCATTTCCCAGCAAAAAGCCCATAGTCTTTCTATGCTCAATGTAAGAAAAAAAAGTAATTATTTGTTTCATATATAGGCATATAAACTTAAAAAAAACTTTAAATTCTGGCAGCTTTATATATATCTACAATGGTCAGGTTATATTATAAAATCATAAATTCCAATACAGCTAAAGAAAAATACTACTTGCTCAAGAGTTATAAAGGAAATACTATTTTATCACAATCCACTGTCCTTGGTTATAAAAGCTTAGCTTAAAAAGTTTCTTGTGAATATTATGAACTGATAAGAAAATTCTTTATTATTATCATTATCATTGTTATTATTATTATTATTATTATTATTATTATTATTATTATTATTATTATTATTATTATTATTATTATTATTATTATTATTATTATTATTATTATTATTATCATTACTATTATTACTATTATTATTATTATTATTATTATTATTATTATTATTATTATTATTATTATTATTATTATTATTATTATTATTATTATCATTATTATTATTATTATTATTATTATTATTATTATTATTATTATTATTATTATTATTATTATTATTATCATTATTATTATTATTATTATTTTATTATTGTTGTTGTTGTTGCTGTCGTTGATATTGTTGTTACAGTTTTCATTCATTTAATATGGTTACCAATGAAAGGAAGGCCAGCAACGCCAATGGCTCAGTAGAGCACTTTCTTCAAAAAAGGGTGGATAGTCATTGAATATTTCACACATGCACTCAGAAGTGATGCAACAAGCAGGTTTTTCTTTGTTTTGTTTTATAAAGAACATTATGAACATCTTTTGACACAGTATAAAAGAGAAAAAATACACTCTCCTGGGTACTTATAAAATATTCCATTCAATTAATACCTGAAGGTCTTTTTACATCTTACCAATCTTACATACACCAGCTTCTTCAAGTTACTCTAGAGGTTCTGAGACTGAGCCAAGTACCTAAATGGCTATCTGATGGAGGTCTCACAAACCCATTTGTTCTCTTTCAATGCAATCACTTCGGCAATGCTCTTCTGATTGAATTAATGGATCCCTATTCATATACTTCCAATAAGCAATTTGAACTCCAGAGTTCTTAGCTGGATTGATGTTATTTACTACGGCAAATGTTTACATATGCTATGGTGATTGGTATAATGGATCCTCGTTAGTTATGTGCCTCTCTCTCTCTCTCTCTCTCTCTCTCTCTCTCTCTCTCTCTCTCTCTCTCTCTCTCTCTCTCTCTCTCTCTCTCTCTCTCTCTCTCTCTCTCTCTCTCTCTCATCTGTCATATAATAGCTCCAAAATTAACAGGTACAATCTCCATTTGACATATGCACTTCAAAGCATATCAAATACATGAACAAGTAAAATATTGCTAGCCTATTATTATCACCAGATAGATATTTCTGAATCTGCAACCAAAAATAATTGAGGGTTCTGTTTCGTTTTCATCATTACTTTTCCTCTTTAAAGATACTTAAAATCTATAGTGGTCTAATCCGGCTCTGCTTAGATTATTGTTCGCTCATCTGGGGTGCCTCTTCTTATACTTATCTCCTTGAGAGGGTTGACTCTATCTCTCTTAAAATAGCAGATCTATCGTCATTTCAGGGCCTAATCCTGCCTTTTATTTATCAGTCCTCAGTACTTTGACTCTTCATTCAGCTTGTCCTTGTCCAATTATGTATCACTCCCATATTTCAACTTGTTCTTATCTTTATATATATATATATATATATATATATATATATATATATATATATATATATATATATATATATATATATATATATATATATATATATAGATAGATAGATAGATAGATAGATAGATAGATAAAAACATAGGCATATTCATACATACACACACACACACACACACACACACACACACACACACACACACACACACACACACACACACACACACACACACACACACACACACACACACACACACACACACACACACACACACACACACACACACACACACACACACACACACACACATATATATATATATATATATATATATATATATATATATATATATATATATATATATATATATATACGCGTGTGTGTGTGTGTGTGTGTGTGTGTGTGTGTGCATATGCTTACATATATATATATATATATATATATATATATATATATATATATATATAATATATATATATATTATATATATATATATATATATATATATATATGTGTGTGTGTGGTGTGTGTGTGTGATTACCTAATTGTGATTACCTAATTGTGTTTACGGGAAAGAGCCCAAAGCTCGTATCTTCCCGTCTCCTGATCGGTTCCATTTTAGATTTAGTGACACTTATCATACCTGTCCTTAAAACTATGGATTGAGCTAGCATTAACTACCTCCTCGCTTAGCGAATTCCAATTATCAACTACTCTTACACTGAAAAAGTATTTCCTTACATCCTGCAAAGAAGTTTTCTTACGCAGCTTCAAACTATGACCTCTAGTTCTAGAGCCAGCCATATGAAAATATCGATCCCTATCCACTCTATCATAACCATGAAGGAATTTAAAGACTGTCACCATATCCCCCTCACTCTTCTAGCTTCGAGTGATGGTAAGTCTAATTCCCTCAGCCTCTCATCATAACTGAGATTGCGTATTTCTGGCACAAGTTTCGTGGCATGTCTTTGAACTTTTTCAAGCTTAGCTATGTGCTTTTTCAAGTGCGGACTCCAAAAGGGGGCTGCATATTCGAGTTTTGGCCTCACATAGGTTACATAAATATTTCTGAACATTTCCTTGTCCATGTGCCTGAAGGCTACCCTTACATTTGATAAGAATGCATATGCTGCCCTTACTATGCCATTTATATGTATTTCTGGAGACAAATCTGCCAGTATGTTTACTCCTAGATCTCTCTCATTTTCTGTCTCTTGAAGTTGTACTCCAGCCACCGAGTAGTCAAGCTTGGGCCTTCTTGCACTTGTACCCATTCTCATTACCTTACATTTTGAAGTATTGAATTTCATTAGCCACTTTTCTGACCACTCATGCAGATTATTTAGATCCTCCTGAAGTTCTCTACTATTGTTCTCGTTTTTTTCTTTCTTCACAATCTTTGCATCATCTGCAAACATATTCATGAATGAATTTACAGACTCTGGTAGGTCATTTACATATACAAGGAACAAAAGTGGCCCTAAAACTAAACCCTGTGGAACTCCACTACTAACTCTTCTCCATTCAGACACTGAGTGTCTTACTCTAACCCTCTGTTCCCTTCCTTCTAAGTAAGTTTTTATCCATTCCAAAACATTTCCACCTATTCTAGTCATTGATTGCAGCTTCCTAATAAGACTCCCATGTGGAACAGTGTCAAACGCTTTCTGGAAGTCTAGGAATATGCAATCTGCCCAGCCCTCTCTTTCCTGTAAGATTTGGCTTACCTCATCATAAAATTCTAATAAGTTTGTTACTGTTGATCTACCTTCTCTGAAGCCATGTTGCCTCATATATATATATATATATATATATATATATATATATATATATATATATATTATATATATATATATATATATATATATATATATATACAAATTAATCATTTCTTACCCCGACCGGGACTTGAACCTATTACTTATAATTACTAAGTCAAGGCGCTACCAACCACACCACAGAAGGTTAAAAGAATCAGACCTTATAGCTTATATCTGCTATACTTAGGAATTAACGCATTCTATCTGAATGCTACTATGTTCATATTACAGATTCCCTAACCTCACTCGTGGCTTCATTTTCGCATTTCATTCAACTCCCAATCACATTCGGGCAAAACAATAACTAAATAAGCACATTACATATGTGAAAACATGAATCATTTTTTACCCCGACAGGGGCTTGAACCTAGGACTTATTATTACTAAGCTAAGGCACTACCAACTACACCACAGAAGGTTAAAAAGATTCAGACCTTATAGCTTATATCTGCTATACTTAGGAATGAAAACATTCTATCTGAATGCCACTATGTTCATATTACAGATTCCCAAACCTCACTCGTGGCTTCATTTTAGCATTTCATTCAACTCCCAATTTCATTCGTGCCCAACAATAACCACTAAGCACATTACATATATGAAAACATGAATCATTTTTACCCCGACCGGGGCTTGAACCTAGGACTTAATATTACTAAGTCAAAGTGCTACCAACTACACCACAGAAGGTTAAAATGAATCAGACCTTATGGTTATATCTGCTATACTTAGGAATGAATGCATTCTATCTGAATGCTACTATGTTCATATTACAAATTCCCTAACCTCACTCGTGGCTTCATTTTCACATTTCATTCAACTCCCAATCTCATTCGGGCAAAACAATAACCAAATAAGCACATTACATATGTGAAAACATGAATCATTTTTTACCCTGACCAAGACTTGAACCTAGGACTTATAATTACTAAGTCAAGGCGCTACCAACTACACCACAGAAGGTTAAAAGGAATCAGACCTTATAGCTTATATCTGCTATACTTAGGAATGAAAACATTCTATCTGAATGCCACTATGTTCATATTACAGATTCCCTAACCTCACTCGTGGCTTCATTTTCGCATTTCATTCAACTCCCAATCTCATTCGGGCAAAACAATAACCAAATAAGCACATTACATATGTGAAAACATGAATCATTTTTTACCTCGACTGGGGTTTGAACCTAGGACTTATTATTACTAAGTTAAGGCGCTACCAACTACACCACAGAAGGTTAAAAGGAATCAGACCTTATACCTTATATCTGCTATACTTAGGAATGAACACATTCTATCTGAATGCCACTATGTTCATATTACAGATTCTCAAACCTCACTTGTGGCTTCATTTTCGCATTTCATTCAACTCCGAATCTCATTCGGGCCCAACAATAACCAAATAAGCACATTACATATATGAAAACATGAATCATTTTTACCCCAACCGGGACTTGAACCTAGGACTTATAATTACTAAGTCAAAGTGCTACCAACTACACCACAGAAGGTTAAAAGAATCAGACCTTATAGCTTATATCTGCTATACTAAGGAATGAACGCATTCTATGTGAATGCCACTATGTTCATATTACAGATTCCCCAACCTCACTCGTGGCTTCATTTTCGCATTTCGTTCAAGTCCCAATTCGGGCAAAACAATAACCAAATAACCAAACATTTGGCACTGCAAATGTTTTTTGTTACCCACAATCTTATGAATACATACTGTAATTGTCTCACTGATTCTTCATGTATTGTGAATAAATTATTTTGCCTAATGCCTGCATATAAAAATCTTGCTCACCACCTTCAGGATTTGAGGTTGCATTCCATAAAGTTAAATTTTAAAATTTGTTCCCGTTTTCCAAACTTAATTTAGTTTTTTAATGAGTCTCCATTTTCTAAATTCAAAGAAAGTTGAAATCGGAGTTTCATTTAACCGAGTAGTGGTAGTAGGGTGTGCAAGTAATATATGTCCTATCTGTTTGTGAGCTCTTAACCAAGTTCAGTACCTTGAGTCGCCTTAGGTAAAACAGAAACTTATCATCTTCCTTCCCCTCAACAATAAAATTGGCGCCTGTACAGGGAGCTAGACAAACAGACTGATTTTGATAATTTGTTTTTATTTTGCTTTTTAGCATTGCACATGAAACCCAATTACCATTGTCTAGAATTATTGAAATGAACGAATCTTAATCTGAGAAGAAAAGTTTTATCGCTAGAGATGTTGCGAATAAAAACGTTTTTTTTTTATTTTCAGAATTAATTACGGTGCCTAATATTTTCTTTGTTTACTATGTTTTAAACAAAATTTCAGGAAATCTGCATGAGATTATGAGGTAACAAAATTAAAAAAATTTTCATGATATGAACACGTGTTGTTTAAGATTTCACTTATTTGCTTGATAAAATTGAGTTTTAAAGCATTGGTGTTTTATATATCCGTCAAAGAGTGATATTTGTTAGGAATTGTTTATATTTCTTTGTGATTTAGGAATCAGGAGTAAGCGTATTAAGTACATTGCTTAGTATTGAGTTATTATATTTAAGCATTGATTTCTCATAGATTGGGAAGAAAACTTTGGCGTCATTTGTTGAACCTAGGCTAAGCCCTTCATGTGTCTGAGTTATTACTCAAAAATAAATTTTCCCATTATTAGTAGCTTATCTTTGGTGCATTTTGTATAGGACTTGTGACCTTTTGGCAACACTCCAGAATTTTACTTACGACATTTTAACTGCGGGTACTGCCACAGACTCTCTCATATGCAGGCACGACTACTATACTTTACTTATTTGTATTCTCTTGCATTGGGTGGTTGTCGGGAAAATTCGTTGTTGCTCATTCCTTCCACTTGCACCATAACTGCAGGTACTGCCGCATATTGCTGCTAAACAGGAACAACTGCCATTCTTTATTACCAGCGTATCATGCACTGTTTCGCAAAATTTTTCTGCTGTTGCACTTGATTGTCTTTTGAGTCACTTTTATAGTGAAATACTGAGATCACAGTTTTGTTTAAGTTTGAACTGTGGTATTGAATTTTTTTCTCTCCTTGGTGGTGTGTGGTTCTTGGATTATTTTTACTATTGAAGATTTTTTTTTTGAGGGGGATTGCTTTTCTTTTGGCCTTGTCCGGTTGAATTGCTTTGGCACTTCATTGTTGACAGTTCAGATGCTTGCCATGGAGACCAGGCAGTCACAGGAAACCATCGAAACATTCGATTAGGAGCGTTACCTGGACAAGATGATTGCTATGGGTGAGAAACATGGTTATTCCCAAGGGCCGGTGCTCCTTGTGTGGGCTCATACCAAGATGGTTAAATGCCGAGCCAAGCTAAAGGAGAAAGAGAATCAGCAGGCGCACCCCACCATGACCAGGTACAGGCCCAACTCGACCATGACCAGGTGCAGGCACAGGCGCAACAAGGACATGAGCTTGTGCTCACTCGGCTTCAAGCGGGAACCCTGGACAGTGGTGCTTCATTCGGAAATGGGGGTCAGCCTCATGAGAGTCCCCCCCAATACAGAAATACCAGGATGACGGCAAGCAACCGCTCGATACTTACAGCCACTCGTTTTAGAGTCTTGCCACTAGTAATGTTGGCACAGAGGCTGAGAAGACTCACTGGATGCTTGCCTCCATGCCACCCCGTCTCATCTCCCTGGTCAATGAACTCGACCGCGGGCAACTTAAGAACTACGAAAAAGTTAAGCGCTCATCTCTCGCCTCGCAAAACTTTTAGCCAGCTGAGTGTCGTGCTACGTTTGTGTCAGCATTCCAATTGAAGGAGGAGAACTGTAGTGCCTTTGGCAACCGCAAGGCTTGCCTCTTTGATTGTTGGTTGCGAATTGCATAGTGTCATCAAGAGAATTGGTATCCGTTCTTGATGTTTGATTCAATTGCCATTGACCTCCCTATGGACGTTCATGCGTACGAAAGAACCCTGCTTACTGATGAGATTGACTTTGAGAAAAGCTTAGCCACTGTAGACGAGTACCTCCAGCACAACCAGCCTGGAGTACGTCTCTGTGACCTTATGAGGGCAAGAAGGGCCTATCCCAAGGCTTGTCCTCAGATTGTTATCTCCCCCGTAGCAGGCCATGATTCTCACCGGAAAGGAGATTGCAGGAACGGGAAGCAATAGGGCCCTTTTCAGAACTTCAATCATCCAGCTCATCCTCCTCATATTCCTAAGCCTTATTACGGCCCTGCACCCACACTCAAGAAGGATGACGCGATAAAATCTAAGTCTCATCAGTTCAAAGGAAAGAGATATTACCCTGTTCCACATTCCCAGCATAACCGTCTGGCCACTCACTCGGCCCATACCATAGAAACAAGGCCAGAAAGGGCTACCGAGGATAGTAATAATAATAATAATAATAATAAACCTTTATTTCCATTTCAATACAATGGGTATTCGTCAGCTGGGGCAAGCCCCAACCCCCCACTGTGGTGTCCAAACACAGCAGTTCCTGCCAGTAAACAGCTTAAACTCTCGGTCTTGGACGGGAACCAATCTTTCGACCTCGTGAATGCGAAGCCAGCGCGTTACCACTGTACTAGCCGAGGACCCATCCTACTAAGTTGCCAATGTGCAGTTCAGCGAACATCATGATCCCAAGATGGTCCCAATGTGCCTAGGAATCATAATGGTGTGGAAGATGAGATAGCCCTCGGCACAGGGGCCAGTGGCATATCTGTTGACAAGAGATTTGTCAGGGATGAAGATTTCCCAGGCAAGGTTGTTCGTGTGCGGGTTACTGAAGGAGAACCTCAGGTACGACAATGCTGTGTCATTTACCTGGATTGAAAATACTACAAGGGAAAAGTCCCATCAGTGGCATTGATTGGGTCTATGTACCCTGTCATGATGGGTCGTGTACTGAACCTAGCTCCTATCTTTCAGGCCGATCTCTACCATCTGGACATTTTTCAGTGAAACATTCCTCGGGCGAAGTCACAACAAGCCATTTCAGCAGCATCTACTGACTCTGACGCCAGGAATTTGGACGATTTTCCGACTGACTCCATTGACTCTGCTACAGTTAGTACCCGTAATGTGAAATGCAGAGAATTTCCTCCTCCTTTACCAGATGATGTCCCTCTAGAGCCACTGAAGTCCCATCCAGACTTTGCCAAACTGCAGCAGGACTGCCCCAGCCTCAAGTGCTGGATGCAACAGGCCACCGAGGGAAGAACCTTTATGAAGAGAGGAGGAGGCCAGATCACTTACACCCTTGAAAATGAAGTCCTTCGCAGGCATGTGATTAAAGACGGTCACACTTTTAAACAGTTGGTGGTGGCACTTCGTTGAGCCACCAGGCTATGTATGTGGCACACCATTTGCCTCTGCGCGAACACAGAGGCAAATAAAAAATTCGGCACCTCCTGCAGAAAACTTTTGCATGACCAAGCTTGTACACAGAGATAGACAGATACGTGGGCTCCTGCCCCGTCTGTCAACCCACCTCTACGGCACAGGTACCAAAAGTCCCCATGGGCATAACTTAGCTCTCAACAAAGCCCTTTTCCATGGTTGCTATCGACATATTAGGTCCTATTAACCCTCCTTCGTCCACAGGGAAACACTTCTTCCTGGTATGCGTCGACCTGGCAGCAAGGTACCCAGTTGCAGTGTCCCTATCTTCTATCACGACCGATGCAGTTGCTCAGGCCCTATTCAAAATCTGCTCCAGGGTTGGCTTCCCTGAGCAGGTCATTTCTGCCTGTGGAAGTCAGTTTACACGTAGGCACTTTGAGGTTTTCTGTAACCTCTTAGAAATGAATCATATTCATATGAATGTCTATCATGCCCAATCAAATGGGGCATGTGAGAGTTCTAACGGGACATTGAAGCGATGTTTGCGCAAGCTAGTGATAAATATTCCCAGACAGTGGGACAAGTACATTCCCGCTGCACTTTTCTCCCTCAGAGACTCGCCCCATGAACGCTACTGGATACTCGCCTTTTGAACTGATTTATGATCATAAGGTCAGAGGCAGTGGAATTCTTGGCAAAATGTTGGGACTCACCTACCATTGTAGATGACAATAGGGATGTCCCTGGGTATATTTTGAAGTTTACATCCCATCTCAAAAAGGCCTGGAAAGCTGCACATTTAACCATTAAGGGTCACCAGCAGACTGCCAAGCTCCTTCTTGTCAAGAGTGTCCAGTGTCATGCCCTGACACCCGGAGATCGAGCACTGTTACTTCTTCCAACATATA